GATATAATATTTTACAATATATATACAAATATACCTTAACTTACAATTTTATGTAAAGCAAATTGTAACATTATCAAATTGTAATTTTACTGCAAAGCAAATTGTAACATTATCTCCAGGAAAGAATTAGGTCCGCGAAACTAAAATTGAAGACTATTTTGTTCATAATATCAGATTTGAAACAAGACATACAACGCGACACTTCAACAAAGGAAGATAATTTATCAGCATATTCTATATAAAGATTGAGGGGATGACTATATTTAATTTGTCACATATCTTTTTTCTCTATATGAGAAATGTCGATAACATTATATTAATCGTCATTACTATTAAAAAATGTTACTTAAATTCGTTACAAATGTTACAATATCGGTGCGAGCCGAATATATGCTGTAAATAGAATTCGCAGGATTTATTTAAATATATTTTTCTGTAATCACTAATTAGACTTTTCACACATAAAATAACTTCGTCCAAATATTTTATGTCAATAGTTGAAATAAATGTAGAACTAATCGGTTTCTCTTGTTTAGAATGATGCAACGATTGCTATTTGCAAGAATGCATTCGCTACAAAAACGTAATTTATTGTATAAAATTAAATATCGTATAAAATTAAATTAAATATCATAAAAAAAATTAAATATTGTAAAAACTTTAATCTTCTGTATTTAATCACATAAAGTAAAGCATATACATATTAGGGAAAAACGTGTCCTCCTTTATGTCTTTATATGGTCTGTGAGATTGAAATTTGTTGCGCATATTTCCAAAATGGTCTGGTCTCATTTCTAATACCATATGTATCTCCAATATAATTTCATACATTTCATGTTGTGATGTAAACGTGAGAAGTACCAAACATTCCTGACGCTGTAATATTTTTATAGTGTCTGCCTCTAATTCCTTAACATCTACATTGAATCCTATAATCACATCTGGTGGAACGTAGGAACTACTTTGCACATAAGATTCGTACGACATATTGTGTACTTGAAAAGTTAGCGTATTTTTCATCGCTTGGCACACTATACATACGTCCCATTCCCCTATATCTTCTTCATCAATTTTCAACTCTGATTCTATCATTATAATTAATATTTTTTTTGATGGTAACACGATATGCAGTGCCATTTCCCAAGCTGACAAACTCTGCTTATCCGTCAAGCTTCCGGCTATAATATGTAGGACATAAGTTTCCTGTTGGTTCAGCAAAAGCAAGGGATTTACACGATTTATCGTATGAAGCACTGTCAACGGTCCCGACATGGCATTGGAGTACATGTAATCAATGAACTTCCATTTGAGATACTCTGGATGTACATTTTTCACAAAACGGTCAACAATTGCTTTTGTGCTACCACTTTCAACTATATGAGTCATAGAGTCAGGTAGATTAATTAGTGGTATTCTCACATCTTCTTTCTCTAAGAATTCGTAGATATCCAATAACAAAGATTGTTCCAATTGCTCACAGTCGTGTGTAACGGGACTGTACTGGTGATCATCGCACCAATTGAGCTGCCAGCATTTTATACAAACGAGTTTTACATCTCGTTGTTGGTGACAAATTCTGCACGATTTTGCGAACAAGAACATCTGCTCCTCGTACGGCTCCAATTTGCGACATAGAATCTCCTTGATAGCTTGCAGATTCTCCTTCTTATGTTTGACCCATTCGTCGTTCGTCATTCCACGAGTGATCCATAGACATTTCGTTTTACTAATTTCTTTTATTGCTTCACATATTTCTTTGTGTTGCG